TGCAGTAGCCTGCAGTAGCCTGCAGTGCTGCATTTAACCACTGCGCCACCTTGTGAGGGAGCAAGTGCCCACCTCACAGCTTTCGAGGCGCACCCGTATCCTGGCTACGAAGCCCGTGAGCACCTGGCGCCCTAGATTGGCATCCCAGAGGCACAGATCCACATAAGGATGACCTCCCCCTCGTGTGCATATCCCACCAACCAGGGGAAAAGAGGCGGCGGGGACACTAGGAGCTGTTAAAAGGGAATTAACTTGGCCTTCTGCTAGGAAGGGAGCACAAGGGACATTCTCTACAGCCGTGATGGGATATGTTGGCTTTGAAATAATAACAGGTGTATGCACACATTCTGACTCTCAAAGGGCCAGGCAACCCAAGCCTTTGAACTCGGGAGAAAGCGGGGAAAGCAGCCACCAGGAGGACCCTTCGGAGTCGCCACTGGCACCTGACAACCTTAACTACTCCTCCCTAGCGGCTGGACCCATTTGGGGTGACCCACAGGGGAACAATTGGACCTTCCTAGGACACCCCCAGACCTTCCAACCGCTGGAAGAGAGCCAGGAAGCGGCTTCTTCCATGTTGCACGTCCCTGCACCTATGGGGCCCGCTCTCCCGGTCCTGCAGAGCTCCTGGGATGACAGCGCTCCCTCTTGATCAGGCCTGGTTCCCACCATCCCCCAACCTCCCCAACAGCACCCCCTCCTTCCACCTCCCCCAGAGACCTACTCTTATCATCCCTACCACCTGCAGGAGACTCAGCAGCTGGCGGGGAATCCGTTTTATGCCTCCCAGCCCTACTCATCTCCCGATCCAGCCTTGGGTCTCCACAGAGCCTCAAACCAGGAAGGAGCTTTGGGCTGCTTGGCACAGGGGTCGGCTTACGAAGGTGAGATTCCCCAGCCTGGCTTTTATGGAAATGAAATGGTAAAATACTCTTTCTGAAAAAGGAAGAACGTGTGTCTGAAAATGGTGCTCAGGACGGGAAAATTTGCAATAAATTTTACTTTCAAATTCTGACGATCCGTGTTTTCTTATTCCTAGAACGAGGCCAAGTTGAAAACCTTCCTGTATTTTAAAGGAATTTGTTGGGGAGGTGGATTGCGGGAGAAAACCAAAATGTTAATCAAGAATCTTACTAACAGACAAATTGAAAAATTAGAGGAGAAACTAGGGATTTTGAGGACAAAAAAAAGGTATTTGGGAATATGGCTAATAGCAAAATGTACAACAATAAAAGAAGACAACTACAATAGACTACAATCACAAATATAAAAGGATTTGGATTACTGAGCCAACTACAGATATCATTAATTGACAGAATTTCAACAATTAAAATGAATATATTACCTAAATTGCTATATCTCTTTCAAACAATACCAATAAAACTAGGCAAAAAATTTTCCGAACAATTAAATAAAATGGTATCTACATTTATTTGGACAGAGGAAAAAAAACTATGTATAAAACTCAAACTCTTATAGGACAGCAGAAGTAAGGGAGGATTGACTCTCCCAAACTGTGAACTCTATTATCAAGCTGCAGCCATGACGTGGCTTAAGGACTGGATTTGCCTTCCGCAAAGCCCTTAAAACCTGGCTGTTCCGACAGGCCTGGGGCTAAAGAACTGTTGCCCCTGTCTCGAATTGGTATGACTGTTGTGTGTTTTTAATTATGNAAATAGACCTACGGGATGCATGTAGAGAACTAAATTTAAAAACAAATCAAATGCTGTGTGAATCTGGCTCAGGGGCATGAATCCTGCTTACTGCCTCCTTCCAAGGACCAGTTCAAAGTTATGTGTTACTTGTTTCTCCCCTTAGGAGCAAGAGATGAGCAGATGAAGCTGGTCAGTTACACCAAGGGCCAAATGGCCCACCTCACTGAGGGGGTGGGGTGGCCCTGCCCACATATGGGGCCCCAGGAGAGCCTGAATCCATGCAAGAATGCATCCCACCTCTCTGTCCCATCAATTGAGGCAAGGACTGGTGGAGAACCAGAAGGTGGGGAAGGCAAAACAACCAAGGCAAGTAGTGAGAGCTTTTCTTTCTCCCAACCCTGTTTTCAAGTCTGGTTCCAGAATCGAAGAGCGAGACAACCTAAACCTGTCAATCACTTTCGTTGAGTTTAAAAATCAAAGAAAAAGAAGTTTCGGAGTATTTTGTGACATGGGAACTTTTCTACCAATGGTTAGCTGACAGGTAACAGAGGTAGGATGAGTGGATTTATGTGAAATATTGACTCCATGAGAAAGAAAAAACAATTAGTAAATATATTTGATGGTTATAGAATTGATATTATAAGGAATGATAGTATACTTTTCAATAACGATTGATCTTATTGGGTATATGTGTCTAGCAGCCTAAGCTGTGCTTGATAGGAGAGAAAGCAACAGGAGCTAAGGCTCCATCAATTATAATGTCTGAAGTAAAAAATGACAGAGCTAATTACAGGCAGGCGGATGGGCCTAGGGGCCTATCACGCGCGCGAGCAAATTGATCAATGATGTATAAAGGCAAATATCTCCTCAATGGTAGTTTTTACATTCTGACAATGTTAGCAGAGGCCAACGAAAGCTAAGTGGGTAATATATTTTAAGTTCCAGAGATTGCAATGTCTGTTTCTTTTTTTATACCCACACCTGGAACTCATATTTTTAATATAGTTCACAATGTCTAGATGTACATGATTATAATGATGCTTATATTTTAACATGTTGGACACCTAGAAAACACACCGTTCAATAGAGAAATGGAATGTGTGGTATAAAACAATTAAAAATATATTAACAAAAATAAACCTGTCAACAAGGAAGACTCAGAATATTATAGAGTTTGGGAAAACTGGTATAAATGGATGAATAATAGAAACATGAAATGTACAGCTTAGAAACATAAATGTTTAGATATAGGAATAATTAGGAATGTATAAAAGTGTATTTGAATAAGAAATGGTTATGTTAGTATTGTCAAAAAGGATTGTAATTTATACAAAATTTTTAAAGGTATTTCTATTGTAACTGTCAATCACTGAGAAAGAGTGAAAAGGAGGGATCTTGGGATCTGAGATAAACATCTTGCAGAGTGGACTACTCGTCCCTCTCGGAGGGACCTCATCAGTGCCACCAGAAAGAAATGGAAAGGTGCCCAACAAACATTTCGACTTTTGGAAGGAAGCCAGGAAGCAGATCCTCCCCCATCACAAAACAACCTCTCCCCTCCATCCCAGTCCTACAGAGCTCTGTGGACTGGGACTCCCAACACGCCATCAAGGCTCTAGACTGATGCCCATCTTTCCCCAACCAACCCAACAGCCCGTCTCCCATCAAATCTTCTACAGATCCGCTCCTACAACCCATATCAGCAACAGCAGACTTCCCAAGATCCACATTTGTGAGTATCCGATCAGATATCCTCTACCCCACACATAGTTTGTGTCCTCCTGATCCAGCCATGGATTTCCGTGGTTCGGTAGGGGGCTTGGAAAAAGGCTCTTAGCCCTTTCAGGGTAGAGAATGAGGAGGGATATATTTTTGTCTTTTGAGCTCAGAAGGTGATTTTGTTTTCCCCCAGGTCTCAGCTTGTTCCTGGTTTGGAAAAGAGGGACAGAGCCCAGCTCCTTTGAGGCTGGTTTGAAAAAGTGGGCCTGTTAGCCCTGAAGCTCCATCTTTAGAAATAGCTGTATCTGGGATACTTTCCTTGCATTCTCCTATGGGTAGGAAGGGGCTTCTCCTCCACAGCCTGCCTGCCTTTTGCTTTTCCCTAACTGGATGTTAGCAAATGCTTTTGGTTCATCTACACATAACATGCCTTGACTGAGATGTGAGTCTGAAGTTGGCTTGTTGTTGCCTCGGCTTTGACACCTCGCCCTTCTCTGCAACTCTGGGCACCCACAAGGTGCTTCAGCTTTTGGTTAATAAGTCAGGAGGAGAAAAGGGAGATGTAGTATGATGACTCTCACACCCTGGTCAGCCCTGCTTTATTCTCCCACCATCAGAAAGGAGATATAGAAGCAGAGGCAGCCTCACAAACAGGCTAAAGAACAGTTTGTATCCGTGGGCTGTCAGACTCCTGAATGAAAAATGACTCTACAACCACATAGTACAACTGACTTGCGGGGCCCTGACATACAATAAGTTCACATGGTGCAATAGGAAGTATTTTACCAATGGTTGGAGAAAAAAAGAGTTTGGAAATGAAGAAAGCTAAATAAGTAGACAATACACCTAGATAGCAATATAGATAAGATGAAAACTGTTAATATGTGTACAGTAAGAATAATGATGTTTAATGTTGATATGATATTATTAGAAGATAAGAAAAATTGAGTATTTTATAACATTTAAATGCTCAATATATTATAATACTAAACTTAGTATTATAATAATGTTAAATAATGTTAATATGAATGTGAAAGATGTGGCAAAAGAGGAATGAGGTTGCATAGAGAGATTTGTACCCAGATGACACACTGCATAAGGGAAGATGGAATGGTTTTTTTTGTAATTAAAAAATAATAAAACTCTTATTTTAAAAGAAAGACTGAGTATTTGTTAGTAGGATTCACTGGGCTGCGATTTTTTTTTCCTTTTTCACTGCGAGTTGTATTTTGTTGTGGGGGTGCATGAAGGGAGGCTCAGCCAACCTCATTGTACACATGTTGTACTCTGACAATAAAGGTTTGAAATGATGTAGTACAATGGTTTTCTAGTTTACCCAGTGGGCAAATTTTTGGTTCCCTGCATGAGTCTCCCCAGCGGATAAATCATTCCTTCAAGAGGGCAGGTCGTTGTTTCCCAGGGAGCTTAAGGAACGCTACCCACACACACACACAGGGCAGCTATTGTTATGACTATTGTTTTGAGCGTTTCCTTCCTTTTATCCATAGAGTGGGCTTGGGCGAGAGAACTTCCATCTCTCCTGTCTGTATGAGTAATTTCTTCCATGCCTTTGTATCTCCTCCCTCACACTAAAGAAGTGACTTCGAGACCTTACACTTTAAGGAATGTTTCTTTTCACCTGTGTGTTTAAGAGACTTGCCTGGCTAGGTTTTCCTACAAAGGGAAAACTTGTCCTATATGTTACTAAGAGTAATTTGATTGTCTTGGCTGTTTGTAAGGCTTTCTGGAGGTCCCCTATTTTTATTACATCCCAGTTAGTGGGCTCCAAAACCCCAGAAACCAAGATAACCCCCTCCTAGCCTCTAAGCAACAACACCTACAAGTCCTCAAGGACTAGTACTTGCTGTTTACTATGTAGTAGTAACTACTACTACATAGTTTACTACTATAGCACTCTTCTCCAGTTCTACTACAACTCCTTTTCCTCTGTTTTAGTTTTCCAAACTAACGCAGCCCACTTTCCCTCTCACTCCCCACAACACCAATACCTCCTCCTGGCTTTCCTCTCTGGCTTTTATAGCCACACCTGGATAGGCTGGCTAGGGAGGGGCCTTAAAAGGGCAAGGCACCAGCAGGCCAGGTGCTAGCTATTTGGCAGGCAGCCTATCGAGTCACGATGTCCTTCCCAGCAGTTCCTCCCGATAATTCTTCCTTCTTTTTAGAAATCAGGATGTGAGTTACTATGAAGGTTAGAAGTTTTACTTTTTCAGCTGATGTGTTTGGGACAAACTGCTGGCTTTCAGGAATTTGTGAAACCAGGGCAAAAAGCCGCCAAACTTTGCCTCCATCCTAATTTAGGTTGGAGATAATACTGGGAGATGGAAAAAGGTAGTGGGACATAATATAAAAACTCCAAAGGCAATCTGAAAAAGCTGAGTTTTTTTTTTTAAAAAAATATAGAAGTAGAACTCTCAAATTCTACTTCAAACAGATAAAGCCGCAGCTCTCTTTTTAAAGTGTATTTTTTGTTTCTTAATCCATTCTTTAAAAAATGAAATGCATTTANTGTGTTGGCTTTTTTGGCAGCTGCTGCACACTGCTGGCTCATATTTAAATGGTTGTCCACTAGGACTCCAAGATCCCTCTCACAGTTACTACTATTGAGCAAGGTACCACATACACTGAACCTGTGCATTTTGTTTTCCTTGCCTAAATGTAGAACCTTATTTTTTTCACCACTGAATTTCATTTTATTAGTGCCCAATGTCTTCACCCAGTTGAGTTCCATCATGAACATGTGCTAGATTCAAATATTGAATGATTCAATTCTGAGTTTTTATCAAAGACAGCATTGTAAAGAAATAGGACACTCTGCAAGAAATGAATGGTTGTTAACAGAAGCAAAACTAATAGTGTATAAAGCGTTAAACAAATACCCCATAAGTAGATTGGTAGCATCTTTTCTGAATAAAACATTCATCAAAAGGCCCACATGTTTGCAGCTCATGAAAGCTTATGGTTTTACGGTAGTAGCATTTGTTAATTGGAAAAAGTGCTACCAGGTACCTTCTGATCTTCGGCTATCTAACCTAAACCAAGACGCCTCTCCTCCTACATTGCATATAAGAAGGTTCATCATCTGCCTAATTGGTTTAATGAAGTGAGAGGTCACATTTTCAGGTCAAGCAGGAAAGGCAAGTTGAAGAGAATGGGGGTACTTAAGAAAGGTTGTGGGAAAACCTGGGGGGAGAGATGGGGAGTGAATGGTTGCTCAGCAAATGTGGATTGAACGGAAAAGTGGGGTCATATAGAGACGATGTTTTAGCAATATTATTTCTCCTCTTCCTCCTCCTGCTGCTGCCTATATACCCCACTCCCTTCTAGCACTGATGATATTCCCTAGTCAGGTCATGAAATGTCTGCAAAAAAACAAGCAAGTTCAGACAGCAAGGACACTCACAATTCTTCTCCTTCCCCTTCTCGTCCTCTTCCTCCTCCTCCTTCTTATGACAAGATTGACTAAAAAATTCTTTCATCTGAGGGAAATATATTCATCAAATTAATATACTATTTGGATAAAAAGACAAATAATTTCTGCACTGAATAAAGACACATAGCTGGCACTTTAAAATGGGGGGAAAAAACCCAAGAAAACCCACATCTTTTAAATCTCTTGTTTTGTTGCATTTACTTTGAAAATGGAACATGTGGTGTGTCTTACAACAATCATTAGACAATCATGGGGTTTTTTTTGTTTCAAAGTTCATTTTAACTCAGCTATAAATCAGGTAAATAGTTGAGTAATTCTACATCCTTTTAAAAACTCATCGATGTTGCAAGATTAAGCATTCTTTAGAGCGAGCACAATTAAGCATAGCAGAAATTCCTTCTAAAGAAACATGAATCGGTGTGGACTGTAACATACAATGGCTGCTGATAAGCTATTGTTTCAACTCTGCCTCGTCCTGCAAATTTGGAAAACAGAGATAGTAGAAGATTGCAGGAGGGGGCTGGCCGGGGGCACAACCTTTCATCGCTTTTAATCATTCGAGCATAAACAAGAGTCTGCAGCAATATGTTTCCATGTCAAATGTTTCAAATTTCTGTAATTATTTTCCAGTCCAATTAATGAAGTCTCCATTCAATTCTTGTTTTTTTTCTCTTGGCCCAGTCCCTGCTGTTTGTTGTACCTATAAACTATATATTTGATTTGTATATAACAACTTGCATGTGTTTTTCTCTCTGTGTGAAAAGTTTCTAGTAGGACATTTCTCTTAGCAAATCCTTCTTTTCCTATAGGAATTTAAAAGCTGTGAAAGAGATCTTGAATTATCTTTCTCAAATATAGAATACCATCACTCTGCTAAACAACTAATTCCCTCACCACTGTCAAACTATTTATTAAGTCTGCATTACTATTACAATTAGTCTTCTCATCGGTCCCGTTTCCACCCACTTATGACTGCAGGAGTGTAATTGTGTTGCTTGTATCCTTACAATTTATATTGATATTTATTGTTTCCTGTTTGCTTATTTGTACCCTATGACTATAATTAAGTGTTGTATCTTATGATTCGTGAGGAATGTATCTTGTCTTTTTATGTACATTGAGAGCATCTGCACCAAAGACAAATTCCTTGTGTGTCCAATCACCCTTGGCCAATGAAGAATTCTATTCTATTCCTATTCTATTTCCTATTCTATTCCTATTCCTATTCTATTCCTATTCCTATTCCTATTCCTATTCCTATTCCTATTCCTATTCCTATTCC